AATTATAGAGAACAGTTATCAGGTGTTTTATGTTAGGCTTCATTGTAATCAATGTAATCATTGTTATGTTTCCGCGGTTATAACAAATAAGTCGACAAAATCTAATTTTCTGATTGGATATTTTCTAAAATATACCTACCATGTATATTTATTTAATTATGAGAATTAAATCAATTTAACAAATAGATAATTATATTGGTGAATAACAAATGTTATTGAAATGTAATACTATCCTATTAAACGTAGGTATGTATAAATGAATACACTATACAATTTTTTGGCACTTATCTTCGTAAGTAACTACTATCATAATATTTTGCTGTTATATTGTATGACTGTATATAATATATGATGTAGGTACCTACCTACCAATTTATTAAATGTCATATGATATTTATGATGTTTTAAATTATTTAGTAGGTAATTATAATTGCATAATTAAAATGGTGCATCACTGTGTTATGACTTATGTATTATGTATATGAAAAAATTGAACTTTTTGTCGCATATTTTCATTTCCGTATAAAGTAATAACAACACTGTCCGCTCCCCGATCTCCTCCGCGGAACTCGACTCGAGCGAAGTACTGACGACGGCGGCTTATAAATTTAGCGGGGAATGCCAATAACATCCAAACAGGCAGTGTAATACCACTAAAACGGGCCAAGAAACGAATTTTAGAAAAAATAGCAAAAAATGACACGACGCATGTATTTATTGCTGTATATAGCGATACTTACATGGTACCTACTCCCTTTTTCGCGACGTCGCTCTGTGAAAAAGTAGGGCCGCGCACCGTCTATAAATTTAGAGGGGAACGCGAATAAGATTCAAACGGGGAGGGTAATACGACTAAAAGGAGCTAAAACTCAAATTTTTGAAAAAAAAACGAAAAGAAAAAATGGAATCGAACTCTTCGTCGCATAATATATTCACGCCCATGTATAGTAATAAAGACACTGTCCGCTCTGCTAAATCATTTGACGGGGAACGCGAATAAGTCTTCAACGGGGAGGTCCGAAGTCAGTAGAGGCGTTAAAACTCAAATTTTGAAAAAAATCGGAACATTTACGTTAAAAATGATAAGACGGAAGTGATAGCGAACGACGAAAAAAAAAATCAATTTACCACAGCCGCCGCAAATTATCGATATTCCCGGGGCCGGGATTGAACCCACGACCCTCGAGTCACCTGTCCTAACGCCTAACCTACCTAGCTACCTACTGAGATGAGAACCATGAGTCAAATCTATGACTCTTAAGCCGTGTTGCCGTCCCCGCGAAAGGCGAACGCCGTTTGGAAGAGGTTCAAAGGGAGTTTGAGCGGGCGATCTGACAGCGTCAGCGAGCGGACGACCGGCTCCGCCGCCCTCGGACGTGTGACGTGCCAATTACTATTGCAGATGAAATGTAGGAAGTAAATTGAGTAACTCCTCGATGATGGTAATAATTTGTATTTATTTATGCAAACATTTATTATGAAAAATATTCTAAGTCCAAATAATTGACTTAAGCGAGTTGTGACTGCTAGTATTTAGAGTGACTGTTAAAGTTGAGGCTTGTTGCTCGTCTGATGAACGCTTGTCCATCAGCTTTCCTCGATGGGTCTCTCCAGTCCCTTCCACAGATTCACATGACCATACATGGTCATCCTGCGGTTAGGCCTATTGTGGGATTTGTCACCCGGTCGTCGCTGCACGCGCCGGATGTCATCAGATTACATCTTGTTATTTAGTATAACAGCACAAATCCTAGTTCACAGTATTTTAGAATTATTTATATACGTAGTCATATATCTATTCCGTATCTATTCATGGTCATACGTTCGATTATTATTATCTTCGCGCTGTAGATATACTGTCATCGCTCCACTACACACGTACTGTATACATGGTGCCAGCGACGTTATTATTATTACTAGTATTGACTTTTACGCGAGCAACGCGTATTATTACTATTATATTATATTTACGCAGCGCGTCTATTATATGATTATATGATTACGTACATAATATTAGAATCAGACTTATATTGTTAAATAGTTGTTTAAGAAATAGTCACAGCTCACTACAAACGTATAAAACACGAGATTTGCGAAAAAAATCGAACCTCGAGACGCACGTATTTATGCCTGTATATAGCAGTACCCACTCGATACCCCATCGGCTGCAACTTGTTAGCGCACATTTTATAATTTTTACCTGAAAAATCGGAACTCATTTGCGCACACGGTTATCCTAAATGTACAACTGGTTTGTGCACACAAAAATAAGGCTATATGACATAAGCGCCAAAGGTGCAAAAATGCAAGACTGGGCATTAACGAGTTAAAAAGTTAACTAGTTACTTTTGGCTTTTCATTAACTTTACTGTTAACTGTTAAAAATGACATCATTTGCTCCAAAATAAATATTTTATAAAAGTAGTTTTTCTAAATTGATATATCTTATAAAAATGATATTATATATGTATACTATATTATACTAATATTATTTTATATAAATAGTTATTTGAAAATTGCTGTCTTATAAGAATATTTTTATATAGAATATTAGAATATAGAATAGTTTCTATATTTTTGCTCTTTAAACAAAATACACACAACACCTTTATTCGTAACAGTTTTTGTAAAATCCATTTTAACGAATGCTTACGAAATAGGTACTATAACAATATGTTACAACACAAAACTGCTCACACACGACTGTCTATGTGACAATCTATCGTAATCAGATTATACATTTGTCGATTAAGATTAAACGTTTGGAGTATGAACTTGGAGTATGAGTTTATGTACGATACGATTTATTACTTATTAAGACTTTAAGAGGGTATTAAAAGGTCAGGCCAAAAGGTAACTGTGCATGTTTACGGCTCAACTGTTCCCAAACGAGTGGTAGTTTTGTGCCCAAAAAAGTTGTCTTTTTGGTATTTATGCGCAAACCAGTACCGCCCACCCCATCGGTACCTACTCTCGTTTAAGCGACGCCGCTCCTCCGCGGGACTCGTTTTTAAAAAATTAGGTCCGCGCGCCGGCTATAAATTTAGCGTATAACTCGAATACGTCGCCGACGGGGAGGTCGGACGTCTCGTAGAGGTGCCAAACGCGACTCTAGTCGAAAAAGTCGAGAAAACCGTCGAAACGGCGACGACTCAGCGCTTTCGGCGATCGAATGTTCCGCCGTTGGACTCGTCGACGAAAAAGTAGGGCCGCGCGTAGGGTATAAATTTAGCGGGGAACGCGAATAAGCCGTCTACGGGGAGGGTGATAAGACCGAAAGGGGCTAAAACTCGAATTTTTTAAAAATGCCAAAAAACGCGCGCGACGGGAAAAAAATAGGACCGCGCGCCGACTATGAATTAACAAAGAACGCGAATTAGGCCCAATCGGGGCCGCCCGGGGCCCCTGAGGGGGGTAAAACTCGAAAAAGTTGAAAGAAAATCGTGAAAAATTGTCAAAACAGTGAAAAGTAAAAAGGCGGAGTGATAACGCTGCGACGGCTTCTCAAAAAAAGACGCGACCCATGTATTTATGCCTGTATATATAGCGATACCTACACGGTACCTACTCTCGTTTCCGCGATGCCGCTCCTCCCTGGGACTCGTCTATGAAAAAGTATTGCCGAAAGGGGCTAAAACTCGAATTTTTGAAAAAAACGGCAAATGGAACAGTCAAATAGTCGTACTATTTTTTAATATAGTTTATTAATATCGTATTAAACAGTATTTATAATCTTTATCAGTATTTAACCAAATCGGAATCACATAAAAACTGTAATATATCAAGTAGGTACTACATGTAGGTTAGTTATATTATATTGTATTTATAAAAGAAACATATAGGTGCGTTGGTCACGATAAAATCTAAGTATTATTATTATTGTTTATAAAATAGTATAGTATCATTATACAATTTATTTACAATTTAAAATATCTACTTTATTATATATTAATATTTTTTTGCAAAAAAAAAAATGTGACGAAAAAGAGAAATTCGATTTATCACGGCCGCCGCAAATTTTCGAAAATCCCGGGCGGCGGGTTCGAAACCACGACCCCCGAGTCACCTGTCCTAACGCCTAACCTACCTAGCCACCTAAAGAGATGAAAGTCCGAGTCAATTCTATGACTCTTAAGCCGCGTCGCCGTGCTCGCGAAAGGCGAACGCCGTTTGGACGGCCGGCAAAGGGCATTTGAGCGGGCGATCTGACAGCCTCGGCGAGCGGACGACCGGCTCCGCCGTGCTCGGACGTATAATACGCGAGCTTCACGAAAAAAATCTAACTTCGAGACGCATGTATTTATGCCTGTATATAGCGGTACCTACTCGATACCTAATCGGAGCTACTCTGGTTTCCGCGACGCCGCTCCTCCCCGGACTCGTTTTTGAAAAAGTAGGGCGGCGCGTCAACTATAAATTTAGCGGGGAACACGAATACGTCTCCGGTGGGGAGGTCGGACGTCTCGTAGAGGTGCTAAACGCGACTCTAGTCGAAAAAGTCGGAAAAACCGTCGAAACGGCTAAATCGACTCGTTTTTGAAAAAGTAGGTTTGAAAAACTATAAATTTATTGGGGAACGCGAATGAGATCCAAACGGGGAGGTCGATACGCCCTAAAACGCCTAAAACTCGAATTTTTGAAAAAAAACGGCAAAAAACGCGCGCGACGGCGGCGCTCGGTTCGCACGCGATATCCGCCGCGGAGGGCCCGCCGGGAAAAAAGTATAACGTACTCGTAATAGTAAATCTAGCGGGGAACGCGAATAAGGTCCGAACGGGACCGCCCGAGGCCCCCGGGCGGGGTAAAACTCGAAAAATTTGAAAAAAAATCGTGAATTTCGAGAAAAATCGTGAAAAGCGATAAGGAGGAGTGATAACGCTGCGACGGCTCCGCCGTGAGTACACGTCGTTTATAGTATTAAAATAATATTTCTTAGGTTATGTAGCGAACAATTTCATACGTATTTGAATAAAACAATTTTTTTTTTTTTGAAATCTAGCATGCCGAAAGACACTGTCAGCCATAGTTATAACGGCCGTGGTATGCAGGTGTACAATTCACCCGTATACCACAATGCTGTCCCCGTGCGGCGTCCGGGAGGAAACGCCCGACGTAAGTATCTAATAGAAAAAAGCACATGCGTATTGCATAAGCCAAGTATAACACTAAACATGATTTGTACGTTTCAGGATGTTACAGGTGCCAACAGGTGGGTCACCTGGCGAGGAATTGTGGTAAGTTTGTCCTATTATTTATTTATTCACGTGCTAAGCTTTTGTAAATTTTATCAGACTCCCCCTGCGTGGTACCTGCGGCATCGCCGGGCGCCTCCTCGTCGGGGCCGCAGCAGCAACAACAACAGCAGCAGCAACCTCAGCGGAAGCGGCAACCACAACAGCAGTAGCGAGGGTCGAGGCGGCGGGGCCGTGGGTTAAGGTAAGATCGCAAATACCAAAATATGTCAATCATCATCAAAAACATAAAATGTATTGTTTTCAGTAGTTTTGTCGGTCAAACGCCGAGGGCGGTGGAGGAGCCGGCCGCAGCCTCGACTCCAAAATCGACGTGTGAGGAGGTGGGGTTCACGACCGCCTCCTCAACGCCGCCTGTAACTCCAACGTAAGAATAGTCAATATTATATAAATAAAAATATTAAAAAAATATAATTATATACATCATTTTCAGTGTGATCGGGTCGGAAGGCAGTGGGAGGTGGGAGGTCATGGAGAATGGTAAGTTTCAATTGGACGATTTTGTCTACTTCATAATTTATTTAACAATTGTATTTTTTTAAATATTTTTCAGAATGAATAAAGCACTATTTCATGTAACTTTTATTGTTATTTAATATTTCCTTGTTCCCAATTGTTTTATGAACTGTAACTGTAACGTTTGTCAATTGACAATTGTGTGTGAGGTGTGTCATTAAATATTTTAGTAGTTGGTCAACAACAGTAATATATTATTAGTAATAATAAAATAGGTAAGTGATGTGTGTTGCTGGTTTGAAATGTAAGTGTTGCAAACGTTATCTTGATTTTATTCATCAGAATAGAGTTTACTTGACAAAATGTGTTAAAAGATAATTAATCATTATAACTGTAGTCCACTGGTGTTTAAATTTAGTAGTTTTATAAAATCCCACATTGTAATGACATTGTCGGGCAAGTGTTGTAATCAATTGAGAATATTTGTATAGCGTACATTGTTGTTAATACGGACTGATAAATAATCGTATTGTTACATAAAACAGTGGTTCTCAACCGCCGGTCCACGATTAAAGAGATGCCGGTCCGTATTGTGTTGTTATCTGAACTATTTTTAGTATAGTGTTGGGAATTTTATAGTATATTATATTACCCGTATACTATCGCACCAATTTGTTTCGTATCTACATTATTGATTCGGCTTTCAATTGCAATGCATTCTGTTTAATAAAAATGAATTCTAAACAAACGAACTTATTGAATTTTTACAAAAAAAATAATAATGATATTGCCACTAGTTCAGTTTCGGAATCCGTTGATGATATCATTGCATCACCACCTAAGAAGAAAAAAGGTACATTTGTTCGTAATTATAATGATGATTATATTAAGTATGGATTTATTTGTTTTTCTTCTGGTTCTAACGACATACCGAAACCACAGTGCGTATTGTGTTCTGTGATTTTATCTAATGAAGCAATGAAACCTGCTAAACTTATTCGTCACTTGGAATCAAAGCATAAAGAATTTAATAACAAACCTACAGACTTTTTTATTCGAAAAGGTAAAGAGTTAACGGCTCAAAAAAAAGTTATGTCTACCATTTCTAAGGTTAATTACTCATTAGTTAAAGCATCTTATCTGGTAGCATTTCGTATAGCCAAATGCAAAAAACCGTATGAAATCGGGGAAACTTTAATTAAACCTTGTTTACTTGATGTTAATAGTGAACTTTTAGGGCCTTCCGCTGCTAAAAAAAATGAATGATTTACCTTTATCTAATGACACGATTTCTAGAAGAATAAATGATATTTCTGTGGATATCGAAGAACAAGTTATAGATAAAATTAAATTATCAAAATGGTTTTCAATACAACTTGACGAATCAACTGATGTATCTCAAAAAGCAATTTTTCTATGTTACGTGCGTTTTATTGATTTTCAAACATAAGAATTGTGTGAAGATTTATTGTGTTGTTGTGAATTACCTTCACATACTACAGGGAGTGAAGTATTTAAACGATGAAATGAATATATAAAAAAAATCCAACTAAACTGGGAAAATTGTGTGTCTGTGTGCACGGATGGTGCCGCAAGTATGACCGGAAAATATTCTGGTGTAGTTTCCAGAATTAAAAATGTAGCAAACTTACATTTTGTTCATATACATTGCATTATACATAGACAACATTTAGTTGCGAAAAAAATGTCACCAGATTTGAATGAAGTATTGACTGAGGCAGTAAAAATAATTAATTTTATTAAATGTAATGCCTTAAATTCTAGATTATTTTTAATTTTATGTGAGGAAGTGGGATCTGAACATTCTCATTTATTGATGCACGCAGAAATTCGGTGGTTATCCCGTGCTAGAGTCCTGAATAGATTTGTTGAATTAAGAAAAGAAATTGAATTATTTTTAATTCAAAAGAAAAGCAATTACATTTCAATTATTCAAAATACTGAATGGATCGCAAAATGTATTTATTTATCTGATATTTTTAACTTAATAAATACCCTTAATTTAAGTTTAGAAGATTTATTGTGCATTATTGTGCACCCTTTGTTTATGCATTTAAAAAAAAAATACAGTTGTGGATAACGCGTATTCAGGAAAGAAACTATGAGATGTTTGAATCTTTTTCATTATTTATAGAAACTAATGAGTTAGACATCGATAGTAATATCAAAATAACTATCGGAAATCATTTGCGATCATTGTATGATACGTTTGAAGATTATTATCCAGTGAATCAAGATCCACGAGACGGATATTTATGGGTACAAAATCCATTTTTAACAAACTCTCAACATAAATTGTGTTTAAGAGAACAAGAACTTTTGTTAGAGATATCATCAGATTTTGGTCTACAATCTAAATTTAAAACAATGTCTGTTACCAAATTTTGGATTGAAGTCAAGGACGAGTATTACGTGCTTTTTGAAAAAGCAATGAAAATTCTTCTTCCATTTTCTTCGACATATCTGTGTGAAGCTGGATTTTCCGGAATGACCCACATAAAAACCAAAACTAGAAATAGGCTCGATGCCACACATAGTTTACGTGTGGCTTTGACAACTACAGTGGAACCAAGATTCGATAAAATTGTCAAAACAAAACAAGCACAACGCTCTCATTAAAATGTAATATTTTATTTATAAATATATTGTTAAAAAATAATTTAAAATGTAATATACTAATAACCAAGATTCGATAAAATTGTCAAAACAAAACAAGCACAACGCTCTCATTAAAATGTAATATTTTATTTATAAATATATTGTTAAAAAATAATTTAAAATGTAATATAGTAATAACCAAGATTCGATAAAATTGTCAAAACAAAACAAGCACAACGCTCTCATTAAAATGTAATATTTTATTTATAAATATATTGTTAAAAAATAATTTAAAATGTAATATAGTAATAAGTATATAGTAAAGTAATACAAATGAACATGTTTTGATTAATTTTGTGTATTCTTGTTGATGAACAAAAAAGGTCTTCGTACAATTAAGGTGGTCCGCGACCTATAAAATATTATCGAAGTGGTCCGGGGTAGTAAAAAGGTTGAGAACCACTGACATAAAATAATGTGCACTGTAGGGTATTTTGATGATTTGAAGGACCAGCTCGATAGAATAAATTTGTAGCGATTGTATCTACCGAACAGATTGACGGCGTCAAGGATAGGCAACCAAAGTTGCAGGTACGATTAACGTTGTTAGAGGTGACAAGACGACGACGCCTACTCCCAAGATATACGTAATCCAACACACAGCTAAACGGATTGATGGTGGCTGGCAATGACGCGACGATGGACAACAAGGAACCAGAACGCACCGAAACGCGAAGGTGTGAAGGATACAGGTTATACAATGGGAAATAGGATTATGCAATTTACGTATAAGCGGGGGTCTCTCTGTGCTCGGATCGGTCTGGTGCAATGACCACAGAGCTCACAATAAGTGGAGATAATCTTACAACTAACTTATGCTACGGAAGTATATGCAGTTGTCACGATATCCACTGATGCCCCAGAATGTCCACGCATCAATGACTGAGGTGGAGGTATAAGATTGGTCGATCCACAGCGTATTGCATCTGGACGACCTGGGCGGCCACTCACACAACACACAATGATTGCTGGCGGGCTTACGCAAGTGACGAGTGATGCCAAGAATAACGCGGGTGATAGTGTAATGATCACCGTCCGTTCGATTCTTATTGGCGATAGTCAGTTCGGATTCTCTAACAAAGAGGTAGATATTACAAAAGGAACCAAATGAATAAGTACTCACCGATTTTGAGCGAAATATTATGATTTATTGATATCCGTTATGTAAATGATCTGCAGACTCAGTCTCCGCGAAATCAGATAAGGTTACAAAGATTATTGTGTCATTTGACTGATGACAACAATGAGAAAAGATAGAACGTGTATGTACACAATTAATAATAAAAAAGATCGGGAGCTGCTGTAATAGCGAGCGTCGCCAGTACACACCACACAGTACTCCGTATTATAATATTACGATTTCTGTTGGTTATGTTGACACAACGTAAAAAAAACTAGAGAATAGAAAAAAAAACAATATGGCGGTGTTTACATTGATTGAGCAAAGACATTATAAATACGTTTTGTATGGAGTGGATAGAGTATGTAGTGAATAGGAAGAGACGGGAAGAGCGGGGATAAAAGAGTTGCCCATTGGGCGTGCTGTACGCTGTCGCTGTTGTAGATATAATGACAGAAATGCTGACGCCAGCAGCATGAACATGCACACTAAAAAGTAATTGATAATATAAAATAATTAATAATATTGTTGTTGAGAATATAAAGTAGTTAAGTGTTATCTGTGACAATTAGTATATTATATCATTGATTATAAATACGTTTATATATATATATATATATATAAATATAAATAATATAAGTATTTATAATCAATGATTATAATATGTAGGTGCTGTTAAAATAGCTTGGCAACGGTCATTAGACTAATTGCAATAATTATACCATAAATCTGTTTTTCAGTACCAATTAGTGTAATGACTTTCCAAATTTTTTAATATTAGCAGCAACATATTAATAAAAATAATAGTACCTAGTGTGATAAATGTTACTATACATGAGAGTATTAATAAATAATTTATTTTCATATGATAAGATGTGTTCCAAGCTATTAGCTACGTGCTACATAGATGAACAATTAAGGTATGACTGTTATCTATAGTGTTAGTTGGAATAGTCTATATCAATCGTTGATCGACAAACGGCGTGCAGACACTAATATTTTAGTTATGGATTTAAACCAATAATTGATCATACTCAGAGATAAAGACCTAACAACTATATAATATTAAATATAAGTGTATTATCATCTATAGACAGTAATATATAATAGTAAAAGTAATACACAATAGGTATAATCAAACGTAATAATATGTACAATAATTGAAATACTACAGTTACAGTTTACCAAACAGCTTACCAACCTTCATACCATAAGCACATACAACAAAAGTGTATTTACCTACACACGGTATCGACAGTAAAAAATAAAAACTTCAATGTATTGTAGGTATTTTACGGTACGAACACAATGTTACATAGTTAAAAGGTAATTACAATTGCGATTGAACAAATAGATAGTGATACGACATGTTACAAAATGTTGAGGTTAATTTAATTTGACTAATTTTAATACTGATACTTAAGAAACAAAATACAAAGGAAAATCATACTGTTATAATATAGAACATTGACAGTCGTCCATAGACATTGAAGTACGGATATAAGATTATACAATAACCAGATATATGTATGATAAGTATATAAAACAATTTACCTACGCACGGTAAAGACAGTAAAAAATAAAAAATTCAACGTGTTGTAGGTACTTTACAGTTTGAACACAATGTTACATAGTTATAAGGTAATTACAATTGCGATTGAACAAATAGGTAGTGATACGGCATGTTACAAAATATAGCAATTTTTATTATATAGTACTTCAACAGTCGTCCATAGACATTGAAGTACGAATATAAGGTTATACAATAACATAATTAATCTTTTAAGTAAAATACAGCGAAAATATTTACAGTGATCACAGAATTAAATTTGTCTTTTTTGATATTATAAGGTTTAACAATAACTAATAAGAAGTAAAACAAATACATACATTAGGTTATACATTAAAAGCATTTGTCATTTTGTTGGGTGTCATTTCAAAAATTTCACAGAGTGGGAACTGAACCAATAATATCACTGTTGAAGGTAGCAGTGCAGTGCTGTGTTGGCCTGTCATGTTGTGGTTTGTATCTCAATGTTTACACACAAAACAGCCTAAAAATACAATATACCAGTTAATTAATTTAATGAATAAGCTTATAGTATAATGTAGTTCTTAAAAGAGTGAGGCAGAATCAAATTTGTCATTTTGTTTGGTAAAAATACTTTAAGCACAACGTCGGTATATCTTTATAAAACCATTATAAAAGTTAATAACACTATTAAAGCAATATTGGGGTTATCTAATAAGGTTTATGAATTTTTTTAAACGCATTTTAGTTTAAGTTAAAATGAATGTGTTATACATATAAGAGTATTCTGTTTAGATATTATGTGAACATGAATTGAACACGGGGCAGTTAAACATTAAAAATAAAAGTCAATGAAATATTTCTGATAATAAATTAACCTGAGAACATGACAAAAATATTAAATTGTATAGTGAATAGTGAATAAGAATAACACATACAACATATTATAATAGTTCTCAAGTAATAGTTAACAGTGATCACAGAAAATCAAATGCATTAACCTTTATAATGAAGAATATCGAAGTATACTCATGAATATAAGGTTTTACAATAAAATATAAACATTAAAAGCATTTGGTCAATGAAAGTAAATTGTTATAAGAGTATTATGTTGTGATTAATACAAATGAAACACATGTTGGTGGTTTTGATGTGTGTGGGAAATGAACAAATACTAATGCATAATAACCTCAGTGTTGTGTCGAGAAGTCTCCAGAAACAAAAAACCTCGAACACAGCTTGATAGACTTGTGACCCATGGTGTTGCACTAACTGCGTCCATATCCGTCGAATATGGAATAAACCAAAATATAAATGTGAATGTGAGTGTAACGGTCATGTTCATTGGGACGTAAATGGTTCATACTTACTTGTGTATAGAAACTCCATGGCGGCATCAATGTTTCCACACCAAACACAGTTGTTCACCATTTTTCAACAGCCTGAAAATGTTAATTCTATAAGTATGCTGAAAACCAGTTAATTAATTTAATTTCAAAACGTTTGACATTAGTTACGAATTCACTTTGCAGTGAATAAGCATCCAGAGAGAACCATGGGGAGGTTGTCAAACTTTCTCTCCACAAGGACCACAAAGGTCGGACCACACAGGTACCCGCTGTCGCATATAGCGACGTCTAAACTTATAGCAAATAATTAAAAATTATCGGCAAAAGTGATTTAGACTGTAATAACTAATAAGTATTAAGTGTAATTGCACTGCTCAAGTTAAGGTTGAACAAAAACGGCCGATCACAACACGTCTGAATACACTATATTCCTTGTGATAAATCGACCGTCGTCGCCACCGTACATACCAACTTTTATTGATTCCGAGTCCCGCATTCGTGAGAACGCAACGTACAGTTGTCCGTGCGTAAACACCGGGGACGGCAGAAACAAACCAACTCTGTCAAAAGTTTGACCCTGAGACTTGTTGATCGTCATCGCAAACGAAAGTCTCACCGGGAACTGAACCCGACGCATGGTGAAGGGCAGGTCGTCGTCTCCGCTGGACGACAGCGGTATCCTGGGGATGACGATGTCGTCCTGCCCTTCCCCCGCGTCCGCCAACAACCTCGCTTTGAAGTTGTTGCGCCTCAGTTCCGTAACCACTAACCTTGTTCCGTTGCACAGTCTGATTTTCGGATCGAGTTTCCACAGCAGCATGACCACGGAACCGACCACCAGCGTCAGCCTGTACGGAGGAAGTCCGTCGGGCTCCAGCGAGTTCAAAAACTCGGTCGAGTAATTGGCAATCTCGTCCACGTCGTCCGCCACCACCGTGTCTATGGCGGTGTAGGTTCTCGC